TAAAAAAAAAAAAAAAAAAAAAAAAAAAAAAAAAAAAAAAAAAAAAAAAAAAAAAAAAAAAAAAAAAAAAAAAAAAAAAAAAAAAAAAAAGAAAGACAAAAAATAGAGCAAGACAACAGCAAAACTCTTCATCATGTGTATGCATATTCTCTGTATGGCTGGTGCAGAGCCTGCCAAGGACAGTGTCTCTGTATTCCTCCTTATTCACTCTTCTCACTCTCCTGCCCCTCCCCATCTTCATGTGATGATGCACTGCAGCTCCTGGTATTCCCAGGCTGAATGCCAGCAGAGTTAAGAGACACAAGGAAAATAGCACCCCAGTTTTTCTGAGTTTTTAAGGATGAAGGGAAAGCACACTGAACAGATGCTGTCAGGAAACAGGTTGTGAAGATACCTCTTGTTTATAGTACATTGAAGGTTTAAATATAAAATGTTGTCTTTTTTCCTCCCTGTGGTTCACAAAGTTTTTGTTGTAGGTTTTTAAAATAACGTGTTTTTGTCAGAACTGTAAGATTCACTCTTTGGTTAGCTTGCACTTGGATGTGCAAGGAGGGAATGGAAGCAAGGGCTGCAGAGACCCTAAAAGGATGGGAAAGGAGCTGCCCTGCCAAAAACCCAGTTCATGGACCATGAGGAATTTGGTGGTCTTACAACACAGTATCACCTCTATGAGAGGTATCACCTACAATGAGAACTGCTACCTGAGGGAAGATAAGGGGCAAGTCTTTAATGCCCCTGCCCACTGCTATTGTTGAAATTGCTTTCTAGAGCTATGAAACTGTAAAGGTAAGATACAGGAAACAGTTGGATAATGAATTTTTATGAAGTGGATTTTCAAGAATACCTTTCTGCAAAAATTGCTGCTGGTGACTTAAAGTTCTCAAAAGAACCACTCCAGAAATATGTTTTGTGTTTTCTGGTCTAGCAATAGCTATCACAACTATAAACATAGACTCCATAAGTCACCTATGATACGAGACGTGGCATGTCCAAATCTGTAACATATTGCTGTCTGAACGTAATGAGAAATAAATTCTATATTTCTAATGGGTCTGTGTGTCATTTA